CGCCCCCCCGCTTTTGGGTGTGGTCCGGGGCAGAACAGGGGCACCGTAACTCCGGGGGAGAGGGGGCGCGCATCGATTCCCCCGGGCTCACCGGCATTCCCTGCCTCTCGGCGGCGTCCCCCCGAGACCGTGGGCCCCTCTCCCCTTGCCCCTCGTGGACCTCCCTCTAAGCAACAGCCCTTAGCCCTGGGGAGAGACTGTGGCTGCTGAGCGGAGGAGCGGGCTCCCTGATCCCGGGAGGGAAACTGGGGCAGCCCGGAGGCCTGGGAGGCGCATCTGCCAGGCAGACGGTACCGCCGGAGGGGGCAAGGTGCACGGGGAGAGCTTGTTGTCCTCGTCCGGAGCCAACAGCACCTGCTCTCCCCCAGGCGACCGCGTTCGCTCAGCAGGGCCAGCCTGACCACAGAGCGGGGCAGCCATCCCAAGGTCATGTTAATGCTGAGGGCAAGGTTAGGAAACACATCTAGGTCACCCTGGGAGGTGGGCGCTGGCTCAACCTGTTCACTCTCCCCTTAATTCTAGAACTTTGGGTGTTGGGGGGAGGGGGGCTGGAGGAAAAAGGGGGGGTCGTGATATAACATCTGGTAGAGAGGCTGCCAGACAGGAGCCTGCCCAGTTCCCTCCCCAACTGTTTTAAAAAGCCACCTGGCCTCCGGGGACCAGACATCTTGGGGGGAAAGGGAAGAAGGGGGCTAGGAAATGTGCAGGTGGGATGAGGGTGACATTTGAATTAGGCCTGGGTTTGAGTCCCAGCCCTGTCGTTGGCTGGCTGTGTGACTGAGCAAGTCACATCCCCTCTCTGGACCTCATAATTTCAGCTCTGAAGCGGCGCTTGAAACCAGCGATCTGCCTGTGTCCCTCAGAGGACTGTTATGAAAACAATGCATCAGGCCCTCGCCGATTTGGCTCAGTGGATAGAGCCTCGGCCTGTGGACTGAAAGCTCCCAGGTTTGATTCCAGTCAAGGGCACATGCCTGGGTTTCAGGCTCGGTCCCCAGTGGGGGGCGAGCAGGAGGCAGCCAATCAATGATTCTCATCAGTGATGTTTCTATCTCTTCCTCTCGGAAATCAATAAAAATATATATATATATTTTAAAAAGCATCAGGCTCCCGGTGCGTAAGAGTGGGTATGTACTAAACATTTGAGAAATGCCTCGGAAATGAGCGAGAAAGAACAGTAGCACTTTGTTCATTCCCATTCCAGAGCCATCAGAGCTAGACGGATCCGTAGACATGACCCAGCCAGACCCCTCATTTACAAACGGGGAAACTAAAGCCTCTAGCGGGTCAGGGGTTTGCCTGACTCCCCAGTCGGCAGAAGCAACAGGTCTCAAGCCTGCCTTCGCTTCACACTGCAAGCCGCCCGTCTCCATTCATTAAGGCTTTACATGCAGCTTTGAGGTTAGCACCAGGCCAAGTGCTGGGAGAGAAAACAAGCATAACGCGCAGGATGATCAAGGTGACAACAAGAAGCTCGTACATTTGTATCATGCTTTCTATTTTCCCCCAAAGCATTTTGCATCCATCGTTGACCTTGCTTCTCAAAATAAACACCTTTGGAGGTAGAAAGAGATGTTGCATCCCTGTGTAACGGATGTAGCACCAAGAGGATAAGGGACTCGCCAAGGTCACGGGCTACTGATGGGACCTGGAGCCTCCCCTCTTCCCAGCTGTGGTGCCAGGTCCTTGTAGGGGAAACCCCACAGTGGTGACAGCGTGCCGGGCTGGAACCACCACACTCATCTCATACTCACCTCGCTCCCTCCTTGCTGCCGAGTGATGAAGCAATTTACACGTTGGGCACCTACCCTAGCGCCAACTGTGCAGAAGCAAGCAGAAAGCCACAGAGAGGAGTGGCAAATCCCTGCACACAGCAAGTCAGAGAAAGGAGGGAAGCCGGGTTTTACAGCCCGTTTGCTTTTAGGTTTGCCTTGCCTTGTTCCAACAAGGTTAAAGGTGGCAGCACCCACCTTCCCAACTCAGCACCCACCTGCTTAGCGAACCACACCGCCCTCCCAGGCACATGGCACTTTCCATGTTCATGACTCCTACCTCCTTAGGACCTTCCTCTCAGAAGCAACAAGACTGGGGCAGTCAGGCCCATTTTACAGATAAGTACCTGTAGGTTGAAAGTGATGTCTCCAAGGTCA